AGTTTCAGTTTTAACCGAAACCGGTTTTGCCCACCCCTAATTGTGAAGATTGATCACAACTTCAAGGCTCCTAACTATTCCAGCATCAAGTGGAGCTAAGATTATGTGAACTGAAAGCTCAAGGCAATCACAGAAAAATCAGAAACTGACAAAAGGTTTAGCATTCTGGAAAGTCAGTTGATGGCGCCGGTGGCGTAGTGTCATTATGTCGGTTGGATTCACATGGCATTGAGGACGGTCCAAGAAGTGGGTCCAATAAACCCTTGAGTGGAAGCTCCTATTCATTCCATGCTTCCAAATATTTTTTCTGAGATTGTGAAAGACCTCAAGTTCAAATCTTTCGTCTCAGTAGGAGTGAGTAAATCATTACAAACTAATTTGAAATGAGACGGTACTAAAAGGGCATCATGTGCTCGTCCAATTTTAAACAATTGTCATCAAGAGAAATTGCTTGGAGCATAAAATGCCAGATGCTAGCCACCATCATGTCAAGAGATCATGATATTCAAGTTACGCATTTCTAGATCACATCATGTCAAACAAAATTCTAAGATATATATAAAGCAGCATTTTCCCAAATTAATAGCATCGCCATTTTTGCCTCCTACACATTCCTGGAAGTGGCCAGCTGACAAAACAAGGCATAAACAAGAAGTTAGAATGAAAATTTGACAACGTTTCTTGACTCTTTTAACTTTTGAGTTTTGTACCTTTTTATTATTTTAAAAATATACAAAGTATTCATTAAAATAAATATTAAATATATTTTATATATTTTTAAAATATTAAAAAACCAAAAAAACTTATAACTATAGATACAAACTAGCATTATCAAACTAGGCCTTAAATTAATAGGGCAGGTCTGTGAAATAGCAATAAACTACCTCAATGCCTAGGCAGGTTTGAACATATTCCGTCTATTCTTTTTTTTTTTTTTTGAAAAATAATCTCAACACTATTTTTAAAATCCTTTTAAGTTATATTCATTCTTTTCTTTTTTATTTTTTTTTTCTGAGATATGAATTCCAGCCTCATCACACTGAATTATCGTTCCAGAACCACAGAAAATTCTTTTCTCACCTGAATGAGAGGTAAATGTAATATGTTATGTCATAATAACAACTTTTTTCTGGTAATAAAGTGATAATAACTGAAATAGGGCTGCAAGTCTACTTTAATGATAAAGAAACATTCTGGTTAAAACAAAACAAAACTACACTTTTCGGGTGAATAACCAACATATATATCAACAACATGAACATGATTCATTTATTTTATTGTTTCATCTTTACTCTTTGTTGGGTTAAGCGTTTGATTGTTTTTCGAACTGCAAAGAAATGACAACTCTATTAAACAGTCAAGTTCCATAGTTTTCTAACAGAGAATACTTTAATGGTAGAATGCAGAACAGAAATATGCAGCAGACCAACTCAAATCAAATCCAGTATTCAGGCAATTGGAAAGAGTTTTGTAAGGGATTGGGCTACCAGGGTCACCCGTGAAATCCTCTTAAGCGAGGAGTCCTACGGGACCTCGGGTTCGATCCCTGGGAAGGCGTCCCCTATGAGGGGAACAAACACGCAATAGGCCCCAGGGCCCAAGGCTTCCGAGCCCAATCCCTTACAAGTTTCTAAAAATGTATTCAGTAAACAAGGCAAAATAAATTCGATTGTTATGAACAAACTTATTCAAGAATGAGTTTTTAAGAATGTATTCAAATCAAATCCAGTATTGTGGTTGTAGATTAACTACATGTGAGATAGGTAACCCCACCACTTATTCAATAAAGGAAGATCAGTAACCACAGAGTTTCTGTTTCAATAAAGATAAAATCTTTTGTTTAACCAGGGACAGACATGCCCAATATCAGCAGTGGCTTCAAATATAAGCATGTTAGTTTTTCCTAGCAGAAAACATAAGATGGGGTAAATCATATCACTCAGAAGCCTCCTCTCACAGTTGATCAATGTACTAAAGGCAGACTTCTACGTGGTTCATGGCTTATGGCATCATATGTATAGACATTAACTTAGAAATTTTCTGATTAAGTATTCTCTAATTCAGGGGCCATAATTGTTTCACAAAGGGGTCTCTGTTCTCTATAAACTTAATTATACAAATGCAAATTTATCCACAAGAGGTGTACGCAACATATATCAAGACCATAACAAGTTCATGATGAGAAAAATTAGGAACGTTGTAATAAATGCAAACTTGCCAAGGACATGTTGAAGTGATATGTTCCCCAGAGAAGAAGGAAACAAGTGCCTGACTCACCCACAAAAATATATAGTACCTTGGAAGAAATAACATCAGCACAGCTTCTTCCAAGTCAGTATAATGGAAAGAAATGATCAGATCAACAAAAACATTCTACAGGAGGAACATGATATACCTACAAGTTACTTTTAACTTGCAAAGAAATCCAAAGTCATCAACTTTAGATCTCTTTCTAAAACTGAAATTGGTTAGTAGATTCCACTTAATAGCAAGCTGTCTAGACATAACAGAACTAGTTTTAGTGAGCAACTTAAAAACTAAGCTTACCTATCCCCATCACTGCTACCCTTCTTAGAAGAAAATGCACTACCCAAGAACCCCTTTTGCCCTGGAATAACCTGGCATCAGATTGAGCAGGTTTGCCTGGAATTCTCACTTTCATATTTTCCAGTATCTTGTTTATTGCTCCTGATACCTTTGCAAAAAGTTTCTGTACAGAATCTGGATGGGCACCTTTCCATTTTGGACTAACTGTACCCTCATCATCTTCACCAATGTTGAAACAACCCCCGCATTGAATGCATGGGTGCATAAATAATAAATTAGAACCACCAGAGAAAATTTGAATGCTAAACTTTTATTGTTAAAACTAATTAGCAAGAATGTACCAGTTAAAAAACAGATACTTTGCAACAGCAAGCAATAGTTCCATACAGAGTATTGCTTTTTATTGATTCAACGTACTCCTTTAATAGTTACTATTGAAATTTAAGTTTAACAAGAAATTTCAAGGCTATTATTCATGGAAAAAAAATTTTCACTGCCCCCTACTTATCTTACACAATAAAATGTTCAGTAACAACAATATCTTGCAAATATATAACATAGCCATACTAGAGAGTGTGAAGAGTTTGAATGCGGAATGAAGCAAGCAAAGCCCCCAGATCATGAAGATCAATAAGCTTGTCCTGCAACGAGGGAAAAGTAAAATGAATCTAAAAATGTCACAGTCAAAAAGTTCCAAGAAGTTTTCAGCTGACATCTTCACATGAGAAGAATACCTCCTGGCTAGGTTTACCAATGGAATTATTAGATCTCAGGGAACCCTCTGCAGGCAATCTAACTTCATTGTGCTGGTCACAATGCTCCCAACTCAGATCTTGATCTTCAGCGTAACTCACACCATTATCATCGTGAATCTACAGGGCATAGTGGCATACAGAGAGTTTGCTTCTTATTAGGTATTTATTTGGAGCAATGAGATCATTTCCATTTCTACAGATAACCATGGAATAGCTAGAAAATGTAATCATACTTGCCAGTACAGCCTGACTTTTCAAATCGTCTTGGCTAAAATTCCAGGTAGAGATTCCTCTTATATGCTTTTGCTGCAAGAAAAAAAGGGACCACATTCAGAAGTTATATTTAGCCAGATTGAGGAAACTAAACACTAGTAAAATAAGAAGAGAACACCTTTGCAGTATGAGTAACACTTGAATTTTAGAATGCTTCATTATTTACCTGTGACTAGGGTTCCTTGTACTGATAAGGAGCCTCATACTCAACTAGGAGATCAGTCTCTTTTGTCTAAAACATAAAAGACAAATCAGAGTTGCAGCAGACAAACATCCTATCTTAACGGCAGTTCACAAAGTCCAATGACATAGTTTAGGATGAGCAAAACACCTTCTGCATCTTAAAATGTTTGACTAATGGAGAAAGGCCATTGGGAAATGTACAAGCTATAGTCGAGTGAGCATGCTTAAAGAAATGGTGCTTCTGCTTCAAAAGCTTTTCTGATCTAGTTATTTTATTGATAAACTTTTCTGATCTTGTTTGTTTGCTGCTTCCACCCAATCTTTCATTTTTTTTCTTTTCTTCCCCGAAACCCATTCTTGTGTCTTAACTTCAACCGTTCCATCTCCCTCAAAAGCAATTGGTGATGTTTTGAGGAAATCCTAGCTGCCTTTTCTCCATACAAAACTCTCTCAAATTAGCAAGGCTAATTGCATTACTAAAATCTAGGTCAATGAATCCAATTAACGCAATCAATCTTCCCGTGGTTTCAAAAACTGGACAGCCACAAATATTGTCATCTGATGTAGAGAAGCGATAGATTTGAACTAAACTCCTGTGAATGCTTCTTACCAAAGAAGAGAGGGTCAGAAGAATTTTTCATACATCTCGTCTCAATATCAGGTTTAACAAGTATGTTCTTATATGTGGATATGTCACAAGCCCAACAGCCAAACTATAAAACAATGTATCAACATGAATGGTACCAAACACATTTTGGCTTCTCAGAAAACACACTGAAATTGAATTCTAAGACAGTATCACCACGAACTGGTTTAACAGCTATAAGGGAAAAATTGTGCAAACTATTCCCATAAACTTCAAAATCCTCATCAGGAAAAATGCAGTTGACAGACAGTATTATCCCACTATGATGCAAGCATACTCCTCCGCTCCTGTCTGGCACTACCTGCTTGTTTGTTAAAATGCCTTAACGATTATTGAAGCAAAACAAGGATCTGCCATCTTATACCTTGACTTCTCCCAAAAATTACAAAGAATCAAAATAACAGAGAAATATAATCAAGCATGACATGGTAACATTTTTCCATAGCAAACCCCAAACCTTGAATTAATAAGAAACTCCAACAATGTCCAATAGTTGACAAATATAAAGGTAAATAATTGATGGAAGTCTTATGTCTTAACAATAACTTCAATGATTGCAGGAGTTCACAAAACTTCAAATAAGAAAAGAGAAAAGTTATATTTCTCTCTGGATGAAAATCCAATATGAAAAGAAAACAGCCTTTTTAAACTAAAAGTTGAATTGAAATTAAGCCCCTCTGCCCAAGCACGAAAATGAGACCATAATTTCTAACAAATGTTAAAGTGCAATTCACATCATAACCATACCTCAGCTAGATCAGCATCCAAAACTTTAAAAGCATCGGAACAATTCATCCTTTTAAATTCTTTAAACGATGTCTATTCATCAGGTGATTGATTGCGTTTTCACTGATCAAAGAACCCAAGAATTTAAAGAACTAACCAGCTAAATTTTCATCAATTTCACCCCACCTAGTCCACACAACACATTGATTAATTCAGCTGAGCATCACATAAAATCTTAATTCTCAGAAGTAAAACAAAATATTAAACTAAAATTGCAACCTTGCCAACCAAATAAGGATAACTACAGTCTATACTTCCAAAGATATCAAAATTATTCTTGATTTGTTTTTGCACTACCAACCTAAACTTCAGAAATTGGAAATACTCTACCACTTGCATAAACCCAGACAATCAAAAAACCAAAATATCAAATGTAAACTAAATCAATCATGAAAAACACATAAATTCAGATTGCAAACAATGGAACAGATAATACAAAGGAAGACAAAAACATATAGAACAGAAAGGATCTTACTTTTAACTTTCCCAATCCCGTCAATTCAATGGGTTGCAAAAGCTTGCTATCTTTTTTCCTCCTCATTTCCTGAAGAGCAAATAATCGTCAAAATTTCATTAAAAAAAAAAAAGAATGAATAAAGATTAAAAAAAAAAAAAACCAAAACATTAACCAAAATGTAAAATGGTCAATCACTTAACTAAAAAATTAGCTACATCAACATTTAACGGACGAAAAGATGAAATTGAAAATTGAAGTTGAAGGATGTTTTTGATATTTTTTGAAGTTTAAGAATGAATTGGTTCAAAAATAGAAGTTGAGGGACCAATTCAAGTATTTAACCTAAAAAATATGTTAACCACGTCAGCATCACTATTCAATTAATCCTTAAATAGAAAAAGTTGAAAGTTGACATTTTTAAATAAAAAATATTAAAAATTGACATCTTTATTTAGAAACTGATAAAATTAACATTCTTATTTAGAAAAAATTGAAAGTTGACGTCTTTATTTAAAAAAAAATTAAAAATTGACATCTTTATTTAAAAATTAACAAAATTAATATTCTTAAATAAAAAAATATAAAATT